ATAATGTACAGATTTATTGCAAGACTTTATTCTAATATTTTACTACATGGTAGTTTATTAAATTTGTCATGGGACTTGTGATTCAATTGTGATTATTTTCATAAGAAAATATATTATAAAACTTAGCTTTTAATTGTTAGTTCTTATAAGGGTTTTTTAGAAATTTTGGGCTTTGTGTTCTATGATCTTAAAGGTAATTTTTCTTGTTACAGATATTTACAGGAAGATTTATCAGTGATCTTTTTTATCTTCCATTTCTAGGGTGGCTTCGTTTTATGCCAGATTTTCTGATAATAAAAAAATATATAATATTAAGGCAAATTTATATTCATTTATTGCAATCATTCCCTATTATATCAACTACACTAAAGGTAAAAGTAAATTATTCTATTGATACTTTCATAATGAGAAACTCATATTAGCCTTTTTCGTTTCAGAAATAATTCTTAATTTCTGCAGTTTGAAGATTTGTTATGCTAATGTTTGGCTTTTTAAAGTAGGCCCTCTTTTCCTCTTAATAGTGGACATGTTGATGTCACTAACATTGTGTTAGTAATGATACTATATTTTAAAAAAATTATAGAGGTGAAAGCAAAAAATATCTGGTTCTGTGGGCCATTTTCTTGGACTTCCTTGTCATTAAATCTTATATTATGTTGGGTAAATCCAGCTAAATTTGAAATAGTTCGATGGCTAGCTACCTGAGTGCTACCATAGGTATTTCCATACAAATTCATGTTGGACTTACATATGTAAATATATGTGGTAAAAGAAATACAGAAAGTGGGCACATATCCTAGACAATCTGACTTAGAATTTCTTTCATTCCCTGATTTTAAAAACCACAATATTTCTTAAGTGCCAAAAATATTACCACAACAACTTCTAGAGTCTTCAAGACACGACTTATGTGTCATAAACAATTTTTTGCAACACTTACAGAGAAGGCAAATAAAGCAGACTTAGCCATTTTTACATTTTTGCTAGCTTAAGCATGTTGTTTCATGCATTCATAACCAAGAGCAACATGCCTACACTGGGCTGACAGATACAGACAGACTCTCTAATGGCTACATTTTTAAAGAAATTGCGGTGATGACAAGCAAAGAAAGCCTCTTCCTCAGCATCTCCTCTACTAATACAGTGTATGGACATTAGTTTCCTAAGTGAATTTGGAAATTATTTAGACTTCTAAGACAACAGATCTTAGGAAAGTGTTTCTGGATTTTTAACAATCTCAACTGATGTATTGCCTGTATTTGTTGAACTGTGACTATAAGTTTCACAGGACAGATATGTCTTTCTGTGAAGAAACTAAATATGATACTTTTCTATACCTTGGTATTAGACTGGTAGACTCTTAGAATACATCAATGTGCAATCTTTGCTACAAAGTCAAACTAGTAATTTGACTTGGTAAGCCCTGCACTGAGCATAGGCTGAAGAGAAAGGATGAGGGGAGCTGTCACTGATGGAGGATTTCTGAAGTCAGGAAGGCTAACACTTTGGATACATGAAAGACTTATTTATAGAATCAGTATTATCTCCTATGGCACTCCTTTCTCTAACATGCCAGCCTGTATGTAATGATTCATAAAACAGAAATGGCCATTGAAGCTGTGATTCTCACATGCATTATACATTGTTATTTGTGATAAACAGTTTTACTCCACAGGAAGCCTGGTACAAAAATCAAGTACTTTATCTTCAGACACTGATCTGACCCTGCATTTCCAGAGAATAAACCTGTGCTTTGTTTAAAATGTACCCTTACTTACGTAGAAAGACAGTCAGTTCAACTCCTTAAAACAAGTTTTTCAAAGAAATATGGAAAAGTCTGTGTTGTTATTGTTTTCATTTTAAATATAACTTTAAGCTTACATTTTATTTTTCTGTCCTGAGAAGATCATGCAGAAATACTTTCCTTTATTTTCTTCAGTACCTGTTTCTGTCTCCCCTTCTCTCTAAGTATCTCTACAGAAATGGCCTTTTTCCTCCTATATTTCATGCCTCTCTTTCACTTTTTTTTCCTACGAAGACATCTCTTCACATTTCTCCGATAAGCAGTGTCTCTTTCATAACCTATCTAGTCCATTACGTTCTACTCACCTTTGGGAAATACTACCAGAAGCCAACAACCAGAGCAAAAAATGGATTAGACAAAGATTACAACAAAATGGAACAAGACAAACTCACAAGTAAAAAAAGTTCATCTGAGTTCATTTTTTAGATTTAGCATAGAGGCTAGGCAGAGGAAAGCCTACATATATGCTCTTAGTTCATTATGAGTTGCAGAATTGCAAAGAATTTGACTATATAATGGGCCATGTACTCTCTAAACTTATCTCAAGGTCACCTACCTGTGGTCTTGAGAGGATGCCATGGAAGGCAGCAACAAGCTCCTGCTTCTTGCAACCCATCAAACACCAGGAAATGAAGCTACAATAAGGAAAAGTTGACAAAACTCTAATTCAGACAAAGGAAAGAATCATGCCTCTCACTTTTCAGGACAGTTTTGCAAAATACATACCTCTGTTTTCTCAAGAGACCATTTTGTTTCCTGGCGATACATATTTTCAAACCCAGTCTGCCCACCCTGAGACAGCATTTGGTGGCTTAGCTTGGAGATCTTTCCCTCATCCCAAGAATGGGGATGCCTACAAAAATCATTTTTTCTTATGCATCCCAGCCTGAGTTGATTCCTCTCACTCCTGCTTCTTCAACATAACTCTAGGATGCCATCAAATTCATTGCATTCCATCATGACTTCAGAGGCCAAACCTACTTCAAAATGTGGACATACTGAATATACAAACAATGAGGAGTGAACTGGGACTTCAAAACTGTTCCAGATGTTGGCGGAAGGGCAAAACTGAGCCTGAGCTGTGACTCAGCTTTATATAGAGCAGATAAAACACCAGGAACTAAATTCCAATATTTTTTAAATGCCAGTGGGACTTTGGCGTTGACTTCAAGGGACAAGAAGTTCAGCCAAGGCAGGTAATGTGAAAGCAAAAGTGCTGCATTCTTTGGTAGATTTATTGTTATTGTTGGTTTTAGTATTAGCATTTTTTCATTATTGCTATTGCAGTAGTTCTTAATAAGACTAGAAATAGAATAAAATAAGACTAGAACATATGACTAAAATGGTACATGAGCAACGATTAAAACACTAGAACTAGCATAGTACTATATTTTAATTTCCATTTATATATATATATATGTTCTTATCAGTATAGATGTTAGGAGAGGATGTGTTCAGTTGGCTTTTTGGCAGTATTAAAAATATTTTTCTTGTCATTGGGAAATGTTTTTTCTGTATATCGTAGCAATATGATGTCCTGACTCAAAGCTTGTGCTCATGCATTTATTTCCTGTGAGTAATAGAATTATCTATGAAAAAAATATGATGTCCCTAAAATAGTACTTGCAAAGTGTTCTGAATGCTGAAAATCTAGCAGTATGTTTACAAAGGTAACATTACAATTACAAGGTCATTTTAGTTGTAACTTTGCATCACTTTCAAGTGATGCAAACCCATCAACATTATCTCACATCCAACAGATTCAATTTCTGTGAAAATAGCAGGAAATGTCTAAAAAGGGTTTCAGAGTAGATTAATAGACAATGTTCAGATTAAGGTAGCTATCAGTTATCTATGTTACAGTAATTGTCAGCACAGCCTGAAAAGAGTCCCTCAACCTGCCAGAGTGCCATCACTGGCATATTCGAGCTCCTTGGCAAGACTAGGTTACTCTGTGTGATCTGTTTGATGTTGCTTTGGATTCAAGAACATCACCAAAATACAAAAAACCTTTTATTCAACAGCCCGAAGAAACACAATTTTATCAGAAGTTAGCTATACGGTTCTAGCCACTTGGCTACAGAGAGGAACAGGACCAGCCCTGGAGTTGAAGCTGGCTCAATCCATAGCTCAGCCCTGGGCATTGGGGTCCCTGAGCAGCCCTAGGGTAGGGAGCTGCAGACTCAGCACAGGCACAGCCCCATGGCCTTCTGCATTGGAAGAGGTGGTGCCCAAGGTCTGGGAGGACTGAGAGCATCAGCCTGGTGAACTGAAACCACTCTGTGGTACTGGCACACAGAGTAAACAATTCCTCCACTTGATTATTATTTAATCTTTTCTACAATGAACAAATACAATCTAGTTGCATCACACACCAAACATTTTCATAGAGCCCCAAAGTACGATGGTTTTTAGTAACAGAAACTAACTCATATAATCATAGAATTCACTGAGTTGGAAAGGACCCGTCAGGATTATCGAGTCAAACTCCTGGCCCAGCAGAGGACACCCCACGTATCACACCATGTTCCTGAGGGCATTGTCTGAACACTTTTTGAACTCTGCCAGGCTTGGTGCTGTTGATCACTTCCCTGGGCAGCCTGTTCCAGTGCCCAACCACCCTCTGGGTGAAAAACTTTTTCCTGCTATCCTGATATCCTGATATCCAACCTAAACCTCCCTCCATGCATCTTCTGTAACTGGTCACCGCAAAGATCAATACCTGCCCCTCTGCTTCCCCTCATGAGGATGCTGAAGACACCAATGAGGTCTCCCCTCAGTCTCCTCTTCTCCAGGCAGAACGGACCAAGTGACCTCATCCGTTCCTCATACGGCTTCCCCTCCAGACCCTTTACCATCCCCGTGGCCCTAGTTTGGACTACTCAATTTGAGTAGTGAACCAAGTCTTTGTTAAACAGAAAAAAGATTTCCAAGCACGCCTCTTGAACATCGGTATTAACTTCGGCAAACGCTGGGCGGGCGGCGCCCTCACCGTCCCCGGGCGCCCTGGGCCAGCTCTAGGTGGAGCTGCGGTCATCAAACCCGTTCCGGCCCTCGACCCTCTTCCGGTGGCACCCAGCTGGGCGAGGGGCGGCCACAGCGGGCGCGGGGGGCGGTGCTGCGGCCCCGTGGGGGCGGTGCTGCTGATGGTGTCAGCCCGCCGGGCTCCACCGGCTCTTCCGAGCCGCTCTCGGCGGGCGCTCGGCGAGACGCGCTGCGGCGGGTCGGGCTTCCCCGCCGGGAGCACCGGGGCGCGTTTCGGCGGCTCCTGGATGGGGAACCCTTTCCCGCCGGGCACTGCTGCGCTCGCCCCCTCACGCCGGCTGCGGGAAGGAGGACGGAGGAGCATGCCACCGGCGGGGCGGTTCCGCGGGGACTGACATGCTGCTGAAGGAGGGAAGGTGCCAGCCCTTCCGTCTCTCCCCGCGGTAGCCGAGGCGATGCTGCAGGGCGCTCCCCGGGCTCTCCCGCAGGCGCCAGGCGATCGCCCACAGCAGCCGCGCTCGCTGCTGTGAGCAGCGCGGCTCCGGCCAGGCCGAGGCGACGAGCGGCGCGGGCCCGCTCCCCTCGGCGGGGCGGCGGCGGCGGCGGCGGCGAGGAGGGTGCTGCCCGCAGGCGCGGGCGGCTCCGCGCGGCGGATGCGTGTGCATGAGCGCGGCACCGAGCGGGCGCAGGAAGCGCCCCCGCTCCGCCGCCTCTATCTTCCAGGGAGGCAAGACCTCGCCGCACGGCTGCGACAGCGAACGCCGGGGCAGCGGCTCCGATAGCGCCTACCAGACCCAGCGAGTCCTGGACGACTGTAAGATGGTGGGTACCGCCGGCGGGCTTGCCATGGTTTTCACCTCTCCCGAGCTCCCTCAGCGGCGGTGCCGCTCCTCCCTCCACGTTGGCTATTCCCATCACGTACAGTTGCACTGTTTTTAGAGCCTCAGTCCCCGTCGGGGTGCTGCCCTGCACCCCAACTCGCGGCGGCTCAAAAGTGAGACGCGCGGGGATCGTGCTGGGTGCGGCGGGACAGGGGTCGGGGTCGCCCGCCTTGGCAGTACTGCGGGAGCAGGAGCCCGAGCCCCAGAACACACACTGCGAAGCACTGGCGTTGCTTTTTCCTAGAACCGTCCAAATCTGTCCCCAGACTTGGGCTCGCTGAAGCCTAAATGGGTAAATAGTTGCCTTCAATGAATCACCTCACTCTCTCCTTGCTGTTTTGTTCAGCAACCACATTCTCGCTGTAAAATCCTTCTAAAACAGGACTCAGAATTTGAGGCCCTGAAATTCTGTCCCTGGCATATGTGGTAACTGTTACTAGTCTTCCCGGAGTAGCTGATTGTCGTTGTAAAGCCTCAGGTCAAACACCTGCATCCGTGTTAATTTTTGGACTGTCACATTATAGTATGAGATTTTTCTCCATTCATGTTAAAATGCTTGGATCATGACACTTTCCTCCAGATGAGTGCCATATACCCCCTTTATGGCTCCTTGAGCTACAGTCAGCCTGACATTGGACCCCAGAATTGCTCCTCTAGCTGGTGAGAGGAGTAGAAAACAAATGAAGTTGCCACTACTTAACATGAAAAATCTGAACCATGCTGAAGCTCTGTCCAGTAGCATTGGAAATGGAGTTGCTACTTCTGTTCTGCTGTATTCTGACAATTTTTTTTCCCCTCTAGAACTGAAAAATGTGCTGGCAGATTACCCACTCTGATACTTCAAAATTGGGAGCAATTCCCAGTGCACAGTGGAACAAAAGCTGCCACAGTAGGTCTATAAATATACCCAACAAGTGGATCTTACTGGGTTCTGCCTTTTTTCTCATTCCTGACAGCATAATGTGGTTAGTTACAGAGAAATGCTACCTTTGTAGAATTCATTGATTAGAAATAAAATATAATTTACCGATGGGTTGTCAAGTTGCAATAAGATTCAGGAGGTAAAATCAGTATGTTTCTTTCTTGTTCTCTGTCTCGATTCAGTAACATCTGTGTGGTTTGATTTTCCTGGCTGATGCTGAGGTGGCAGAATGAGTCTGTGTGGACAAGGGATGTTGGGTGAGAACAGGCAAAATGTGGCTGGTGCAACCAGTTACCAGTTGCAGGATGCGATGCTTTTCTCTTTTTCCTTATGTAGCCTAATCATACTATGACACAACTTAGTACAATTGTTTTTGTCTCCATTGCCTTTATGCATTCTCTTAATCTACGTAATGAGGGAGTTGAAGACCTGTTTAGCAAATATTTTGCCTAGGGCTTTGTTTGCTGTATGCTTTTTGGTTTGTCTGGGGGCAGGTGAGTGCAGATGTACTGAAGTGCACTTCGATTGATGTGCTGCTTCAGAAGCAGAGAAACCTATTTGCTATTCTTACAATGAAATTTTAGAAAGTGTGGCCAAAACAATAACCTGATACCAGTTCCCAGCTATATAGAGTGATTGCAGTGGGATAAATGAAGGATCAGAATGTGATACTGCAGGAGAAGAGACTCGTTTATTCCTGAGCATAAGAACTTGGGGGCTTGACTTTAAATACTGGTAGTTCTCATAGACTCCAGGTTCTTAGCATGCTTGTGTATGTTAGTTAAGTTGTACTTCTGGTGGTAAATATGACTGCAGAATTATGAGCAATTACTCTTATGTAGTTTGGAAATTGAGGTCAAAACACAGATAAATAAATATTCTGTTCTTTTACTCCATGCCTTCCACCCCTGCCACTAAGTGGAGCAAATGGTCTTATGCACTTTCTTTCAGAAGACAGCAAATGCTTCATTTCCTTAAAATATAATCCCATGTATGTGATCACTGAAACTAAACAATAATGATCTTTCCATCTGTAAGATTACCCATGTATCCAATAGCATCTGTATGTATCTGTTGGATATTGAACTTCTGTGAAGGCTGAACTGTTTATTTACTTTTTTGTTTCTTTTTCCCACACACGTTAGAAAAAGTGTTTTATGGAATTTTAACAGGAAAATGCTTGTCTGAGACGCCTTCTCAGCCAATAACTGCAGATCAGTTTTAAGTCTAAAATCTGGGTTGGAGGCAAGTGACAGAACAGAAATCATTACAAAATAAATTGGCAAAATTGCCAATGTGAAAGCAAATGCTACATTCCAATCCCTAAATGTACTGTAAATCAGGAAGCAGGATGAGCAAAGGCAATAATTTCTGGAGATATTTTTATCTTTTATGATAGCAAAAAATAACCTCATGTTACTAGTAAAACAGATTTTTTTCATCTGCTTAATATTTAATACTACTAGCTTAAACACTTTCAGATCTTAAAAGCAGAAACACTGCTTTCCTACAGATGAAATTTATAGCCCACAAAACAAGCAGCTGCCACAAAGGCCCTAGTCATTTACTAAATCTTGGGCTCTTGATTTTGTATGCCCTGAAATTGTGAGCTGCAGGAACAAGCCCTGGATTGGGCATGTTTATAAAAAACTTGACTTCTTTTACCACCGTAGTTAAAAATTCTCATGTATGTGAATCCTCTTTGTTTTTCAGATTGTCCAGGAGTTCAATACCCAGGTGGCTCTCTACCGGGAGCTGGTCATTTCTATTGGGGATATCTCTGTCACCTGTCCGTCTCTGCATGCAGAATTGCACAAAACTCGAACCCGGGGATGTGAGATGGCCTATGAGGCTCATCAAAAACTAGCAGCAATTTCTGGGTAGGAGTCAACTTATGTTTAGTTAAAACTGTATTCATGTGTAAATCTTTGTGAAATACTGCATTATGGAAGCTTTCAGCAAAAGCATTAACTTGTTATTCTGTTTTAGGCATAGAAGTGCATGACTAGAAATCTACAGAATGCTTATATCCTTACGATAGCATAATTTTGGTTCAAATCCAGGTCCCTTTACAAAGATAGTATCCTACTGATTTCACTGGATGCTTTTATGTAAGACAAACAGGATTTTACTGTGTATCACTACACAATTTAAAAAGATCAGGGCAGAAACCATGCCATTCAAGGGTGGAATAGCAATAGCTTTCTGCCCAGTCCTGCATTGAGTATACCTAACTGAATAGTTAAAGACAACTAGCTTAGCTCAACTAGATACTCAAAAAAATTAGACCAAAAACTATTAGGTGAAAATTGTGTGAGGGGAATACAAATACTAGTCTGAAAACTTGTACTTATATTCTCCATGTACATTTTTAAATCCTTATTTGTGTTGAAATAAGAATGGAAGCTTTGCTAGCATATAATGTTTTAATTTATTCTTTGGTATTACATTATATACATGCCTTTCCATGGTGACAGAATATATTATCACATACTTGAGACTATGCCTCAGTACAAGATAAACCAGCATAAATAGCCGTGTCTTATAAAATGGAAATTTGTACTGCTAATTATGTGTGGGTTCTTCACAGTATGGTGACTGGGGCATTTGTATTTACACGTATCTCCTGAGTCGTGTCTCTCTGATTACACTTTGTCAGAATTTTCTGCATCTGCCTTATCTGCCATAAGCCATTGTGTACTACTGGAAAAAAACAGAGTTTCTTTTTTTGCAGCTCTGCCTAACCCCTGTTGAATTCCTTTCGTCACTTTAATATATATATGAGAAATCTGTCGTAGGTTTAGTATATAAGGGAAAACCACACTCACTAAACGGAAGAAGGAACTGGTCGATTGCTTTAGTAGGACTGTCAACATTTTCAAGTAAGACTTTGTGCAAAGACTCTTAAGTTGTTTTTGTGACCTCTGATTTGTTCCTCAAACAAAATGCATGCTTTTAAAATACTAGAGTCTCTGAGAATTTTTAAAAAAACACCAACCCATACACTGAAAATGTGAAAGCAAACAGTAGTGAAATTTATCTTATGTGTTTTCAGACTCAAAAGAAAAACTAATATAAACAAAATAATACATCTGAGTAGCTGAACCTATTTTGTAATTTTTTTTAATCTTTTTTTTTCCCTATAAAGAAAACCATTGATATATGCTTATGTAGAAGTACAGAGGTTTTTTTTAAGTAATCATTTTGCAGTTGGGAGTCTGCCATATACACGAATATGTCCTGAAAGTTGTGCAGTTGCTGTGAGATCGACATTTAGCTAATCTAAAACTGTTCTAAATAACTGTGATAATAATGTCATATCCATAACAACTGGTAGGTGTTAGAAACACCGTGAAAATTAGGTGTTTGGCTTGACAGACATTTTACAAGATGTGCTTCACATCTCTGCCCTCCTGCAGCTGAGGAAAGCCATATAAAACAACATTTTTGGTGTATTTGTGAGGAAAGTGGGAAATGAAGGTAGAGCAAGGATTCAGTGTAGAAGAGAGTTAGAAGGAGAGGAGTAATAAATAGTCTCAGAGATTCAGTTTTTAATGCAGCAGGAGGAGTGATGTAGTGCCTATGGCATAGGATCTAGAATGGGAACCTAATTGAATAGGAAAAAAATATCAGGAAGAAAAATGCTTAGGGACAGGAATGTATTAAATCATCCTCTGTTAAATAGTCAAGAGGGTAGTGTATTGCTCAGAAACCACTGGTAGTCAGCAGATGAGACAAAGGCTCATTTAGTTCACTGCTTTAGTTCAAAATGCACAACACTGCACTGTGCAAACTTCTGGGTAACACAACCAATTCTGTCTTCCAAAACTTTTTAAAGAAAGCCTATTGCTTTCCCGCTGAGAGACAATAATAGCAAACAGCTGTTTATGCTACTAGATGATAACATTTCATGACATAACAACATTCTATTAGTTAATGTCATCAGTAATGTTCAGTTAGTCTCTAAGTGACCTACCTGAGGTGTTGCAAGGCAATCTTTATTTTAAGAAGTTGGCATCACTGTGTAAGAATACAACAGTAAGTTCATTTATCTTGTTTGTGCTGATGTCTTCCTTTGGAAAATTAGCAGACACCTTAATTCTTGTTTTAATATATCAGGATTTCACAGAATAGGCTTGGAGGGGACCTCTAGCAATCATCTGGAGATCACCTAGTCCAACCCCTATAGGCACCAGTGCACTCGAGACTCCTAAATGTACTCATGACTCAGGCAGTTAGAAGAGACACCTGTTTCCCTTACTGACTCATCTGTTCTACAAGACAAAGGAAGGTAACAAAGAGGAAAGGTGTAAAGACTTGGAAGGAAACAAACAAGAACAGATCCACTAGTGCTGAGAAAGGCAGCTTTGGGAAAAAAATCTGGGAATTGTGGGAAGGGAAAGAAATGCTGAGGCAGAGATAATGCATTAGGAACAGAACAGGATAGAAGTCATGAGGACAAAAAAACTTTAATCGTGGGTATATCAATTCTGGAATATTAGGCAGACATCAGAGTAGGACAGCGAACAAGAAGAGAAAGCTGCAGGTCTACCTGTAGAAAAAGTATACGCTGATATGCCAACAAAAGGAGATTCAACTATGTGAAGAAAGCGAAAGTCACACTTATATTTCAGCTATGGAGGTGAAGATTTTAAAAACTGAGAGAAATAAAACCAAACAAGATTGTGAAAAAGATGAGGAAGTAGCAGGGAAACATAAAACCTTATAAAGTCCACAATGAATTAGACCATATCACCCCCATCTAGCTCAAATCTGACAGCTGCTCATAACAGAGATTTCATTAAAAAATAAACAAGCGTACAAAAAACAGGCTGTGCATTGAATGATGCCTTCTCTCATATTTTTGCCACTACGTAGGAATTGGTAAGCAAAGGTTGCATCTGATCAATTTGTGTCTGACAAATATGAGTTCTCAGAAGATTTCAGGATTTGTGTAAGTATGAATGTCTTTTACTCAAAAAATGCTGAGGTTGAATAAGGACATCTTTACACTGTGATGTGTTTAAAATTAATTTATTAAAAAAATAAGGTTGAAAAAGGAAACTTCAAATTAAGTCTCCAAGTTAATAGGGCCTCATAGATGTTACATCCTCTTCTTAACTTTCTTTCTTATATATTTTTCTGGGGGAAATAGTGAAATTTTATCAAAGGAGAATAAAGATTAGAAATGAAAATAATCTAAATTGAAATATTCTATTTTAATTGATGGTCTTTTAGGAATGCAAGTCAAAGTAAACCTTTCTTTCAGTGTTGGTTGTCTGAGGACTTTAGGTAAATTCCTGCTTTCATAGTAAAAGTTCTTAGTGATTTTTAATGAATTGTCCTCTGAAGAAGGTGAGTAAGTTTTGGTCCTTTCATCATATTTTCTGCTGTATTAATGTCTCAGAAATTAAATATCTCAAAATATTTACATTGTGCACCCTTCCTGTATTAGTTGTCATAGTCAAAACTGGAGAAAGTACAGCAACAAGAAAATGAATCAGCATGATTTTTTCCAAAAGAAAAGAAAGGGAAAATACTTGTAACAACAGGAAGATGGGAGGAGGAAAAGGAGCAAATCTGTGTTTTGGGAGTCTGCTTTATGGAATCTGGTGATATTTTAGAATTCATCAAATAGAGAGCCAGCTTTGTAAGTGAAGTCCACTAAGTCTGGGATGTCAATAGAAAGATAACTCAGAACTGTATGTTAAGATACAGTTTTGCACAACTGTGCAAGCACTTTTCTAAATATTCTTTCATATTCTTAAGCACTTGATATGCTTACATAATGTGTGCACTTGGCACACTGAAACCAGAACTGGCAGTATCTCTGTGGCAGTCTGATATATATATGTTGGCAGTGGCTTTTTTGCATGAAACAAAATTGTGTGACGAGCTCAAGGGTGTACATCTGTGTGAGCATAACTCTGAAATTGATTTTTCTCGGTGGTTCAGACTGCTGTTGCAATGTCTGGAATCTAAGAAGGAATAAACCCCTACACCAATGCAGACAGGGGCCAGCCGGTTGGAAAGCATCCTTGCAGAAACCTGGGGGGTTCTGGTGAACATCAAGTTGAGCATGAGCCAGCACTGTGCCCTTGTGCAAATCGTGGGCCAACAGCCTCCTATGATACTTCAGGAAATCTTGCCAGCATGTTGGTGGAGCTCATCCTTTCCTTCTACTCGGGGCTGCTGAGGCTGTATCTGGAGTACTGTGTCCAGTTCTGGGCTCCCTAGAAAAGAGAAAGTGACATATCAGAGCAGGTCTAGTCAATGGCCTTAAAGAGGCCATTGTTTGGGAGCAAGTGGCATCCAACAAACAAAGAGGCTGACAGACCTGAGAGTATTTAGCTTGGATACAAAAAGACTTGGATGGGGATCTTATCGATGTGTATAAAAATACTTGATGAGATAGTGTAAAGAAGACATAGCCAGACTATTCTCAGTGGTATCCAGTGATAGAACAGAAAGTACAACCTGAAATAAAAAAGAAATTGATTTAAACATTTTTTTAAACTGCCTTTTTACTGTGAGGCTTGTAGAATATTGGAACAGGTGCAGTGAGAGATTATAGAGTCTCTGTCCTTGGAGATACTCAGAACTCAACTGGACTTGCCCCTCAGTAACCTACTCTAGCTGACACTGCTTTGAGCAGGAGGCTTGGACTAGATTAGTTCTAGATGTCCTTTCCAGTTTGTGACAAAAATCACTGTAAATCTTCTCCTTGGGAAACTGCAAAGTTAAGGTTTCCTTATTTGACACTCATGTGCATCTGTTACTCTTATAAAATAGTTAATTAAGTTTCCCTGAATTCAAGAAAAGTTGAGGAAGTAGACCTAAGAATCACATCCTGATTGCATTCCTGTGCACAGAAATGTTA